AAATGATCAGAGAGCTGGAGCACCTCTCCTACAAAAACAGGCTGAGAGTGGGGGTTGTTCAGCCTGGAGAATAAAAGGCTCCAGGGAGACCTTATAGCGACCTTTCAATACCTGAAAGGGGCCTACAAAAAGGCAGTGGAAGAACTGTTCACAAGGGTTTGTAGCAACTGGACGAGGGGTAATGGTTTTAAGCTAGAAAACAGTAGATTTAGGCTGGACATTAGGAAAAAGCTCTTTAATACGAGGGTGCTGGATCACTGGAACAGGTTGCCCAGCAAGGCAGGGGAAGCTCCATCCCTGGAGACATTCAAGGTCAGGCTCAATGGGGCTCTGAGCAACCTGATCTAGTTAGAGATGTCCCTGCTTATTGTAGGGGGGTTGGACTAGATGACCTTTGGAGGTCCCTTCCAACCAAATACATTCTATGATTCTATGACTCTAAGTAACGCTTACATACAGTCATGGTCCATCACCACTTTCTTTTTACACTAGTATTTTTACCACAGTATTCATCAGCACTGGTAGGAAAACATTTTTTAAAAAAAGTCTAACACAGGTGAGGCCAAAACAAAGTACTAATATTTATCTTCCACATACATTCTGCAACTACTGCTGTTTACAACATACTAGGTACAAGCAACAGTCAGTCAGTCCATTTTCTTTTTTCACATCATGTCGAACATGACATCAGGAATAATTAAGTCTCCACAAAATCTACCAATTCTGGAGAACCTTTGCATATCCAACACACAAAATGATGTAAATTTCTCCTCTGAATGCCAGTCAACAGAAAGATTCTTTTAACCAGTCTTTTTCACATACTAATTTTTCCATCTACCAACAGCATATCTTCCTTTAGTAGGCCTTTGGTGTGAATAAGAAGTAACCAGAGAACAGGACTCTCACTCAATCTTCCAAATTAAAATTGGTTTCAGTAGGCCATTTCTTGATGAAGTCTCAATATCAGAATACCACATAATATCAGAATACTACGTTCTGTGGTGAACTCTATTATTCCTAATAAAAAGGTAATGAGTCTTGAGAGACCTAAATACTTAAATCCTATTATATAAGATTAAATATTGACTAAAAAATATTTGAGACACCACCAGATACCTTCAGATTAATAGCATATCTTTCTTACAAGCAATTCTATTGCAGATACCAACATTCCCTGTTAGAACTGTTTGTATAAATATAATAGGTATATAACTGACGTATGTATACAGTACTCACCGTGGAATGATAACTGCATCCTGGTAATCTTCTAACTTGAAAATAAAAGGCATTTCTTTTGTATACTGTGTACTGGGAATGCCTGTACGTGCCTCAGATTTCTCAATGTCTTCCATAAACTTAAAGTCAATGTCCAAAGTGCTGGAGTCATCAACTTAAAAATCAAAACCACATAACTCAGTTATTCAGGGGAGAGTTTTCCAGGCTGAACTGTTCTGGGAAGTTGTAAATTACAAATTTTTTTTTCTTATTCTATACACATATTTGAGTATTTCCAAAAAATTTTAAAGACGACATATATACGACTTCAGACCCTTATGGAGTCAGCTGAAACCTACTATAAATCAACTCACATCACCAAGTTAAAACTAATTTAGAATTGTGAAGGAGTAATAAAAATATAGCTAACATTTTCATACTACGACATATGGTATTATTTCTACAGCTAACACCTGAAATTTAACATAAATATTAACAAATGCATTGCTAAAGCAATTCAAAGTTAATATTTAAAAAACAAGAGCTCTGTTCTTACCAACATTAAGAGGTAGAACACAATAGGCTGAATCAGCTTCTGTGGGTTTGAACTCTAGTGCAGGTTTCTCAAGACGAAGAATATGTGAAAAAATGTACTGGTGAAGTCGTGTTATCAGCTCAAGCATTTGCAGAGACAGAGTAAAACCAGATTTTTTAAGCTCGATAGATATTGTAACCTCTCCAGAGCGAGTATACACAGGAAAGTGAGGAATCTAAATAAGAAAAAAACAAAAGAAATTAAGAGAGAAAATCCAGAGTAGGTTCCTCTAGAGAGTACCAGTTTAGTTCAGATGCTGAGGTAGCGCTTGCCTGACTCAACAGCAAACTGGATCAAAACTTTGACCTTTGATGACCTTCAATTATAGGTAAGATTTTGAAGGCATAAATAATGAGTGCCTTTTGTGCCTTTTTTTTTTTTTTAATAGTCTCCCTTGGGTTTTACACTTCTCTATATATAAGATCAAATGAAATTAGAAGTCTCTTCCATCACGGAAGAAGAAACGTGAAAACCAGCAATATTCCTGAAATGTTTTCTTCTGCCGACAACAGAAAATAGACTTTGAAAAAATCTTCCTCGGACAAGTCTCATCTACAGAAAATGCCTTTCTATTAAAAATTTTCTGAAGCAAGAGGTGCCAATTTCAGTTAACGTGGACTTTTTTTTCTGTTGTTGCAGATTAGTAATGCTGAGAGGACTTGTTACCATAGCCCTCATGGATAAGGTAGTGCTGCAGGCCATCTCTGTAGCTGATATGCCACGCCTATCATACCTCATACAAAAAAGGAGGAACGTCTTGAATTTGCTACTGCAAAATAATAAAAAATAAAATTGTAAAATAAAAAGCTGACAAAAGTAGAACAGATTGTTCCATCACTAAAGAAAGAAAATGAAGTGCTCACTGGACTGGATGGATATTACTGCTTAGTTTCTGAAGGCTACTTGATACAAACAGCACATATAGTCATTTCCAAATCTTCAGTCTTGGGGAGGTAAGTGGAAAATGACAGGTTGTAAGGCACGTAGACTAAGGAAAGGAACTAGATTAATTACCTGAGGTATAGGTTTGGCTGTCAATATGCCAAAACATCGTGTTGTATCCTCAGGAGGATATAGCTTTCGTCTCCTGAAGTTGAGCTCATCAGGTAGAGGAGTTGTTAACACCATTCCTATTACATACAGGTAACAGGGCTGATCAGGTTTGGGATAACTATCCCTCAAACATTCTGGAATCTAAAAATAAAATAAAAAAGAGAAACATTACTATGATAAAAATTAGCAAAATTGACCTAAAGACTATTCTTTGAACAAGGATTCACATATTTATTTGGAACGGCATTGCTAAAAATGAGGAATAAAAAAAAAAATTAATCTGGACTAAAGTGACGTTTTCTTTCTTAAGCAAAAATGCTTGGTCAACACACTGGCCTGGCAGCCATGAGATGTGTCCATACACTTGCATCAATGGAGCACAATGATTCCAGATCTTCCTATTTGCCAGGAGTCAACTTCCATTACTTCCTCTGTATCCACTCCTGTGTTAGAAATACAAGTCTAACCGTAGAACACAGAAAGTACTTCACCATAAATATGACTGAAGTTTTGATGCCAACTTCCCTATTTAACCCAGTAACGCTGGAGCACAGTTTATGTCCAAGTTCTTTGGACCTTAACAGTAAGGATGGAGGGAAAAAAAAAGGAAAGAAAAAGAAAGGTGTGTGCACACAAGAAAAAACCCACATCCCAGTAATTCAATTTTCTTATAAGCTTGGCTGAACTTACAGCTTCATTAACACAGATTCTTTTCCCCAGCAGAACTGTTTAAAAGTATCAAAAGTTTTTTTTATATATTCAGGACAAACATACAAACAAAATTTGATACATTGCCCCTTTGCCCAGGCACTACACAATAGACATTTTCTAGTAACAGTTCTAGCTTGCAGATGTAAATACTCAAAACAGCCACAAGCACTTTTAACTCTGCTGCTCATATTTGCCATAGACCTCAAGAAACCGTGGTTTATGTTTGGTCCAAGTTCATTACTTTGTAGGTCTTAAAAATGATCCTCCTGTTTATCTAAAACTAAATTGCAATATATGTAGTCCTGGATTTTAAAGTTATACCATACCAAAACTATGGCCTTGGCTTATTGGAAAACTACTCAGAAGTTTAATAACTATATTAAGCCCAAAAGGATCTTCTAGACCTTCAACATTTGCCAAAGCTTCTTTTCCAGATATAAAAAGCTGATACAAAAGCAAGAGAAAGTATTCTTTGATTCTTTATTAAAAAAATGAAGAAAGAATGATGCATCACTTGACAAATCAACTGCTCTGAATGAGAGAAAACATTCATGCATTATACGAGCCACCCCTATTCCATCACTAGTGAGGTAAGAGGACTGAGAAAGGCACTTGCAACAAGAAGCACCAAGAAACACTGTGCAAAGATTCAAACTTTTTGTGAAGTCTTGCAAGAAAAAGGTTCTCATCTGTTGTTCTCTCTAATATACTATGTAATGCCACAGTATCCTTTCCTAAGCTTTCCTAATAACCAATTACTTAAACTACTAATAAAATGGGGGGATGTGGGGGATGCCAAGAACAGAATTATTTAAGGGCTATCACCATAACTGAGGCTGCATACGAACGTACACCAAGCACTGTACCCTATTACTGCAAGTGTATATGTTGACATTCCTACACATGACCAAAGGCTACCGGTTTCTCTGTGAAATGCAAAGATTATCAGAAGCTACCATGCAATCTGTTCTGAACCAGTTATTTGTCCTATTGAAAGGACCTTAGACGGACCCTGTAACAACTGCAGGGGAAAAAGAAAGGTGCTGGAGTAGTTGCAAAATGTTCTGACAACACTTTTTTTCTCCATTTTCTCTTACTTTTTAAAGTTATTTGCTGTTCCCCTATAAATACTATCTAAATCCAATTCTACAAACTGATGTGGCTGAAATCTGTCATAACAGAACCACGGATAAGTTACTTACTAATGCAGAACTACAGTAAATACCTTATGTGACACCTTTAGTGTATTAAGCATAATATTTAAAACTATTTTAAAAATAAAAAATATTACATATACATGTATTTGATATTCTAAGATTGAAACAAAAAATTATGAAATCCTGTGTTTGATCAGTAAAGTCGCTAAACTAAACCAAACGTCTGGAAAAAAAAGATAAATAAAATTTGTGTTTAGCACCTGGCAGGTAACTTTGAGCCCCTGGGCATCTCCTTCAATCTTCCATTATTTGTCTAGAAAGCCAGTAATTCTTTCTTTGCTGTAGTATATTTACTAGATTGCAAATGCAGGACAAATCTTCCTCCCAGTTATTTCTATACTAGGCAAACACAGTCAACAAGCTTTACAGAAAAATGTACATTCCTTGAACCACAGGCATGCTTCCAAAGCGTATGGTCCCATAAGCTCATGCAAGTAATAATGCAAGTTTCCATAGTTAAAACTGCAAAATATTTCCACTACAAATGCAAGACTTGTTGTAAAAGACTGAAATCAGATTAGATTATGAGTTGCCAATTTTGTCTTATCAGTACATAAAGCATTTGATCAGAGAAGTGGACAGAAGTGAGTGATACTAACAGCTTTAGGATAGCACTGTCTTCTTTTTGTAGAGCCTGGCCTTCCTGGAACACTGGTTTCTTCTTCATCATGTAAATCAAGCTCCTCCTCATATTTAACCGTTTCTTTACCAACTGGCATCAAATGATCATCCAGTTCACCTGAATATTATGAAAGAGTATAAAGAAACAGCTCTATAATCAATCAAATCTTGGTTCCTTCAGATACTACACAGTAGATGTGACCGCTCATGAAAACAGCTCACCTAAGTTTTTAAAATACACTTACTACTGCAAGGCTCTGAAAGTGCAACTTTTGGGAAAGAG